ATACAGGAGAGTAACAGGGCCTTGTAGGGTGGACCTAAAACCCCAGGCTGCCAGTTCCCAATCCAGCAAAGCCGCTCCATTTTATTGAGCACTTGCCATGTGCCAGGCACTGCCCTGACTTGCCACACACATTTTTGGTCTGAATCCTTTATACTTCCAAAAAGGATGGGATTCTTGTTATCTTTACTTTGTAGATGAGAAAACCAGAGGGACAGACGACCTCACCCAGAGTCACCCAGCTCGCACATGGCGGGACCAGGATTTGACGCCTGGTCTCTCAGCCTCGGAACCTGTATTCTTCATTATGACATTGTCCTGTTGCGGCTTTTCCAGCTGCATCTGACAGTTTTCAAGGTCATTGATAGGGTTTGTCTGTGTCTCCACCCAAATCTCATCTTGAATTGTAGTTCCCATAATCCCCACGTGTCATGGGAGAGGCCTAGTGGGAGGTAATTGAATCATGGGGGTGGGTTTTTCCGCGATAGTGAATAAGTCTCAAGAAATCTAATGGTTTTGTAAAGGCAAGTTCTCCTGCACAAGCTCTCTTGCCTGCTGCCATGTAAGATGTGACTTTCCTCCATGATTGTGAGGTCTCCCCAGCCATGTGGAACTGTGAGTCCATTAAACCTCTTCGCTTTATAAATGACCCAGTCTCAGGTATGTGTTCATTAGCAACGTGAGAATGGACTCATATAGTCACTCACTATCGTCTTTGGACCAAATAAACATTGTGTATTTCTCAGAGGTGGCTCCCCAAGAATAACATTGAGAGTGAGAGGCAAAGGGAATGTGAGTGTGTGGAGGGCATGTCCTGCTGGGGAGCCCAGATAAGCCTCATTCAAAGAAAGAACCAGCAGACTTTTCAGCAGTAAACACTCTCAATATAAGTGCCAGCAGTCAACTAAAATAGTTGTTGCTCCACTCGTAACTGCAAAGGCTTTCAGCAAACTTGTTGAGCCCCTCTGAGGTGCTGCTGTCACAGGGAGGCTATGAGTGTCCAGTATATGGTGGCTTAGAGTTGGTTCACAATTGATTATGTGGTGGTTAGGGGTGGACTTGGGTGTGACGCAGACCTGGGTTCAAATACTGGCTCGCCCACTATCTAGCTGTGTGACCTTGGGCAAATTCCTTGCCGCTGATCTTCAGATTATTCAATAGTAAAATAGACTTGAGATGCCCTGCTTCCTTTGTGATGGTGTAGTGAGGGATAAAGAAAGTCATAGAAAGTGTCTAGTGTGTGGCACATAGCAAATGCTCAGTGAAGGCACCTCTCTCAGTGACATATTAAAATATTTCTTTCCTGTGTGCCCTCTTATTCATCCATCAGTCACAGGTTTAACAGGAGATTGCAGAGCTGCTGAAGTCCCTTGGCCCCCTTCAGTAAGCAGATCCACGGTGCTAGGCGTTGGGTTCTGTGTCAGCTTGTCAAGTATGTCTGCAAAAATGCAGGACCATACACAGGGTTCTCAATTCTTGGAAACGCCCATGATGGAAATGTCAGTTTGGTGATTTCTTGGCACACATGGCTGGTGGTGGATAAATGATCCCAAATGTGACATTTGAGTTAAGTGCTTCATGCAGCCTGACTTGAAAAATCGCCACATGCGGGTCAGCCTGCTGGCCCAGGAAATGTTCTTGTACAAATGGAACCTTGGCCATGAAATATTAGCAGCTCAGCCATGGAAGGAGGTTTTCTGGGCATTTAATAGTTGTCTGGGTTTTAACTTAAGCAATTTGCATCACAATTGGAAGGTCCTAGTGATGTGGCCTCTCTAGACTCAGGAATAGACGTTCTGTCCGCAGGCCTGTGGTCTGAGGGCAGAGGGGCAGTGAAGAGAGCAGGGGAGAAGGCCCCAGCCTAGCCTGATTCTCTGCCCACCATACACTAGCTTGTTTCATTCAGAACCTTTGATGTCCCTCTGAATAAAATGGGGATGGTAGGGCCTGCCATGTTGTAGCAGCAGAAATGGTGCCCACAGATCAGTGCCATCCACAAGGTAGCTGGTGTCCTAATTCTGAGATTTAGGGAGAGAAGTAAGGACTTGGATACCTGGTGCAGTAGATAAGGAGGAGCCAGCAATTCTGTGTAGTGTGAGGAATGGCTTGAGAATAGGAAATACCAAGGGAGCTGGGCTGCTGTATTAGTTTGTTTTCACGCTGCTGATAAAGACTTACCCAAGGCCGGGTAATTTATAAAGAAGAGAAGGTTTAATGGACTCACAGTTCTATGTGGCTGGGGAGGCCTCACAACCATGACAGAAGGCGAAAGGCACATCTTACATTGGCACAGGCAAGAGAGAGAATGATAACCAAGTGAAGGGGTTTCCCCTGGTTTCCCCGTATAAAACAGTCAGCTCTTGTGAGTATGGGGAAACCACCCCTGTGAGTCAATTGTCTTCTGCCAGGTCCCTCCCACAATACATAGGGATTATGGGAACTGCAATTCAAGATGAGACTTGGCTGGGAACATAGAGCCAAACCGTATCTGCTGCCTTCACAACTGTTCTGAGACAGAGTGCTGGATAGTAACTGTAATCCATGTGCCAAGGAAGGGCCTCCCTAGGCCTGGTGTCGGGAATGCTGTGTCTGACAGCCATGGAGTTGCCCAGCTGTCCAGATGAGAAAAGCAATGAAAGCTCTGTGGAGAGGCCCCACTCTCAGAAGTTTTCACCTTAGGGCTCTCCATGAAACCTGGTAATGGGGCCGTCCAGGGGCCTGCCACATCAAGGTGCTCATATATGAGTTGAATGGATGGCTGACAATGAGTTTGAGCAAAGTTGTGCTTCCAGTATTAGAAGGCACTTTCCAGCCTCTCCACAGCAGCCTTGAAGATAAAAGCTGGGAGTGATGGGTGGAGGTTGAAGCCGATGTGTTGCTGGGGTCTTAGGGATCTGGGAGTCTAGGAACACAGGTAGGGGAGGGAAAGAGAGGAGAGAG